GTACTACCTATACTCGTCCCACTTTCCTGCACTGGTCTCATGGTGTTGAATGTGCACATTTCAAGTGCACATCCAAGTACTTCTTAAAAAAGTTGAGGTTTCCCACATCATCTGCCCTTCTCATACAGTACATTCCAGACCCCTACCACCCTCTGGGTGGATGAGTTTTACTTCAAATCCCCTCTAAACCTCTCACCTTTCACTTTAAAATTAAGCCCCCTTGTTACTGACGTTTCAACTAAGGCCCTCTTGACGACTTACTTTTCTACTTAACATTGTACCATTAGAACTTTTAGCTACCGTACATATGTTGTCTTCATCCAAGTCATTGATATAGATTACAAATACATGGAAGTCCAGCACTGATCCATCTGGCACTCCTAGTAATAACTTGTAAACCTCAAAGTGACCTATTTATTCCCTATTTTCTGTTTCCAATCCTTCATAGAAGTTCACAGAATCCCTACACAGTGTGGAAACAGGTCCTTCGGCCCAACAAATCCACACCGACCCTCAGAGCATCCCATCCAGACCCATCCCCCTATAACCCTCCTAATCTACACATTCCTGAACACTATGGGCAATTTAGCATGGCCAATCCACCTAGCCTGCACATCTTTGGACTGTGGGAGGAAACCAGAGCAGCCGGAAGGAACCCACGCAGAAACAGGGAGAATCTGCAAACTCCGTACAGACATTACCCAAGGGTGGAATCAAACCTTGGTTCCTGGTGCTGTGAGGCAGCAGTGCTAATATAACTAGGCAATTTTCCATATTGTCAGCTGTTATGGCTGTACTGCAACAGCTTAGCTATGGGCAAGAGAAGTTCCAGAACACAAGACTTCAGTACTATTGCTAGAATGTTGTCAGGGCCCATAGCTTTTGCAGTATCCAGTGCCTTCATCTGTTTCTGATGTCACATGAAGTGAATCAAATTAGGTGAAGATTGGCATCTACGAGGCTGGGGATCATCCAATTAGCAGGTCTTGCTGAAGAGTGCTACAGCCTCATCTTTTAAATAATACTCTCCTTTCCAATTGTTTCTGCCAAAGTGAACGACCTCATATTTTTCTACATTATACATCATCTAACAATTTTTTTGTCCAATTACTTAATCTGTCTCTCTCCCTTTTCAGATTCTTTATATCCTCCTTACAACTTGTATTCCTACTTATCTCTGCATCATCTGCAGATTTGGCCACAATACAGCCTGTCCCTTTACAGAAATCATGAAGCAGTTGAAACCCCCAGCATTGATTCTTGTGGCACTCCAATAGTTAGTTAGCCATCTTAAAAATGACCCATTTATCATGAATCTCTGTTTCTTCTTACTTGGCCAATCCATTGTCCATGCTAATATGTTGCCATGGCACCAAGAACTCTTACCTTATGCAGTAACCTGTAAAGTAGCACCCGAAGGAATGTTTTTTTGGAAATCTAAATTCACTACATCACTGACTCCCCTTTATCCACTCTGCTTCTTGTGTCACTAAAGAAGTCTAATAAATTTGTCAAACATTATTTCCCTTCACAACACCTGTTGACTTTGATGACTAAGACTAATCATTCAGTTTTATGATTCACTAAATATTCTCCTACTACCTCATTAATGATGGATTCAAGCATTTTCCCAACAACAGACAGTAGATTAAATGGCCTGTAGTTTTCTGCTTTCTGTCACATTAATTTCTTGAATAGAGGAGTTAAATTTGTGGCTTTCCAATTCTAGTGAATCTAGTGAATTTTGAAAAGATTGCAACCAATGCAACTGTTATCTCTGTAACTATTTCCATTATAAGACCTCAGGATGCGGACCATTGGGTTCAGCAGACTTGTCAGACAATTTTCTTGTAAATGTGTTTGTTTTAAGTTCTTCCCTTTTGCCTCAGGTTTCTACTATACTAGGGATGCCTTCCATGACTTCTGTATTGAAGACTGATATACTTGTTCAAATTCACCACAGTTTTCTTCTTTCCCATTATTAATTCCCTGGTCTCACCTCCTCTAAAGGACCGGTGTTTCTTTTCAGTGTTTCCTTACTTTCTGTATACTGTGGAAGCATTTACTGTCTCATATCTATATTTCTTGCTAGGTTTCATATATTCCAATTTCTCCCTTTTTAAAAAGTTATCCTTTGCTGTTTTATTTAAATTTTCCTAAACAATTAAGTTACCATGAATCTTTATAACAACGTAGGTCTTTTCTTTCAATTTAGTACTATTTCTAATGTGCACTGCTAGCCTCAGATGGTGTATCCTTCTTGGACAGTCTTTATTTTTCAATGGAATACATTGTTCTTGGGATTTATAAATTAGCTCCTTAAATGTCTGAGAGACAGTAAGAACTGCCGATGCTGGAGTCAGAGATAACACAGTGTGGAGCTGGAGGAACAAAGCAGGACAGGCAGCATCAGAGGAGCAGGAAAGCTGACGTTTCGGGTCGGGACCCTGCTTCAGAAATGCGGGAGAGGAAAGGGAGCTCTGAAATAAACAGAGAGAGGAGCAATGGGGCTGAGGAAGGTAGGTGGCATGGTGATAGTTGAGTGTAGGTAGGCAGTGGTGGGGATTGGTCAGTGAGGTGGGAGAAGCAAATAGATGGGCGAGAAGAGAAGATGGACAGATCTAGGAGGTCATCCCTGCCTCCTTGACCTGTCCATCTTCTTTCCCACCTATCCATTCCTCCCACCTCACTGACCAATCCCCACCACTGCCTACCTGCACTCAACTATCACCATGCCACCTACCTTCCTCAGCCCCACCACTCCTCTCTCTATTTATTTCAGAGCTCCCTTTCCCCTCTCCCATTTCTGAAGCAGGGTCCCGACCCGAAACGTCAGCTTTCCTGCTCCTCTGATGCTGCCTGTCCTGCTGTGTTCCTCCAGCTCCACACTGTGTTATTCTTAAATGTTTGCCTTTGATTCCTCTTCATCTTATCACTTAATCCATTTTCCTATTCCATTTTAGCCAATTTCCTACCCTTGTAATTATTTTTATTTCAGTAGCAGAAAACTCCTGAGATCTATATTGCATATGGCGCCGAATAGAAATCTATAATGAGCATTGATTCCACAGTCTAATTGATCAATGCCTATGAGTTACAGCCCTACACCTCTTGAGTATGGCAAATACGCTAAGAACAAACAGTTTACTCCACCAAACCCAAAGTAACCATTGGTTTGGCGATTGGAGTCCACACATCACATCGTCCTGAATTGACATGCATTATCACCAGTGATTAATATCAAATAATTATTGTATTTTTAAGTCAGGTGAAAACCCTTACTTTGTAATAACAACATTTAGTGGGAATAGTTAAAAATAAAGGATGTTCTTCATATCTATTTACTTTTATGAATGATTATTAGTTTTTAAATCACTAAGTTTGTGTACAATTCTTACTGGGCTAAATCTTTCTTCAGTGCTTGAATTCTTTGTGATTCTGAAACATATAGTATCTATGTTTTTACTAATGCTTAAGTTTTCAAAACCAACATTGTTTCAGAACGAATATCTTCCTTAATACTTAGAATCACAAAATAATACAGCACAGAAGGAAGTTGTTCAGCCTACCATGCCTTTTCAGGCTCTTCGAAAAACATGTAAGTTAGTCCCTTGCTCCATCCTCATAATTCTCCATGTATTTTTCCTTTTTAAGCATTTATTCAATTCTCCTTTGGTGGTTACAATTGCATCTTCCTCTACTGCCCTTTCATGCAGTATATTCAAGATGCAGGCGGATCAACAGGCAAAGGTCACACAGATTGGCAAAAGAATTACTTCATTTCCTATCCCTCATATTATGGACTTTTATGTATGACTCCATCAGCTCAGTGTCACAAGAAATGGTCCACCCATCAACTAAGACATCAGGGGAGCTTGCTCAGGATGAAATGGTCACCCTGCTCTGAGTATACTATCCAATGTTGGACTTTGCGAAAAAAAGATTGACTTAGAGTCATAGAGTCACACAGCACAGAAACAGATCCTTCAGTCCAACCAGTCCATGGTGGCCATAATCCCAAACTAAACTAGTCCCATCTGCCTCCACTTGACCCATATTCCTCCAAACATTTCTTATTCATATATGTATATAAATAGTACTTTTAATGTCCCAAAGATGTTCACAGCCAAAATATTTGAAGTGAAACCAATGTGGAGCATGGTCAAATACAGCAGTAAATCTTGGCAAGTTTGAAAATATAGCAAATATGAGTAACAACCAATCCAGCTATCTTTCCCTTTACAGTTTTAGAAATAAAGGTTAGTCAAGATACCAAGATAATTTTCCTAACATTTTAAAAAAAAACTTTATTTCACCTATTTTTCTAACCGACCTGGATGCTACCGCTGCACCACAAGAGGGTCCCCAAGACAACACTTATATTTTTTAATTTTTATTTTTATTTAACCTATTTTTTCTAATCAACCTATTCAGAGAGATGTTATTACACATCTCTGGAGCAGGTGAGACTTGAAACCTGGTCCCTCCGTCAAGTTGTAGAGACTCTACCACTATTTGACAAGAGGGTCCCCAAGATAACTCTTCTACCTATTTTTTCTAATCAACCTGTTCAGAGATGTTATTACACACCTATGGAGCAAGCGGGACTTGAACTGAGACTTCTTAGTCCAGAGATAGGGACTCTGCCTCTGCATCACGAGAGACACTCTAAGATAACTCTTCTTTTCCTTGAATAGTTATGGATTCCACCTGAACAAGCACACAGTAATGCTTCACCCAGCGAGCAGTATCTCTGTTAACGCACATTTCCTCAATGCTGTTATATCACTTTGATAACAGTATTTGAATTTTCAACTTGGAGGTGAACTTGCTGCCATCAAATGAATCTGTGCTGGTGCTCCTCCTAGCCGTCAGTGCACAATGGCACCTCCCTGACACCTTGAAGAGAAGGCTCACCTAGAAGCTAAGCAAGGTGCTTCATCCCTTCTTGCTGAGTTTGTAAGATTAATATACAAGTTCTTAAAATCATAAACACTCACCGGAGCCAGGAAACTCTCCTCAGGATGGATGCAGGTTGGAGAAATGTCAGGGATATTTACACTTGTGATATCACTGCTATGCCAATAAGAAGTGCTGTTAGCTGTCAATAGTTTTGAAGAAGTTGGCTTCCTTTCTGGTGAGTACTCCCTGTTTTTTTTGCCTGCAAATCCAGGTACAGAATTTCTCAAGTTATTTTGAATGCTGTAGCCCTTCTGAAGGTTCCTAATTTTCCCCTCATAATGATGTATAGTTTCATCTAGTTTGATTTTCATTGTGTTCATTTGTTGTTCATTTTCTTGTCGAAGTTTCTTAACTCTCCTAAAATTCTCAAAACAGAAGTAGACATAACTTCATTAAATTTCTCACTGATAAAATCCAATTGTACAATTTCTTTTTCCAAGAACACATACATCCTCTCTTACCAACACAAGCCTTATTAATGCTTTAAAAAAGTCCCAATTCTCCTAAAAAAGAGGGATATGATTTTACTGCTGGCTGCCATCCTGCATCTCACCAAGTGGCATTCATTACATATAATTTCAGTGAGTTAGTGTGGCTTATCCCTTGTTCATCTTGCAGAAATAACTGAACAATAGATGATCAACTTCTTTTTACATGGTACATATAAGTGAATAAAATGATCCAAGTATAGAAAGTTGATTTATGCCTTTTTACCAAGCATCATTGAGGCATCCTAACATCAGCTATGTCAAAATAGGCAGGACAATGGTCCTGAAACCTTGGCTTTGTAACAGGAAAATCAGTGCATCAACCTATTAAGCCTTTAAGAGATCTTGCTCAGAATGAAGTGGTTATCTCACTCTTATCCTGTGCATGTTCATTAGGAGTCATGGACTATATAAATTTGGTAAAAAGTCTGTGAATCAATTGTCACAATAGCCCATCTGGTACCCATCATAAATGCACAGAATGAAATGAAATCTGCCTTCATTACCTGGTCTGACCTACGTACGATTACAAACCCAGAACAATGTATTTACACTCAACTGCCAGGAGAGGTAGTAAGATGTCAATTAGGGACATTAATAAGTCAATTGATATCTATTATCCCTGACCCCACCACAAAATTTGTGGCAGCTCAGTGATTAAATATGTCTCCAATGCCCTTGAAAAGATACGGAGCAAAAACCTGTATTCACCCATAGCATTCTATATGGTGGGGTAGTTGGTCTATCTTACAATCAGGCACTCTGCCAGATTGAAAGACCTGGCTTCAAGCAGAGAGTTGACTACTGAAAACCATGCACCTGCCCTCGCCTGATCCCTTACCCTGTGATCCCCACCTCAGGATCCTTATCCTGCTTTCAACAACCACTGCCTGGTGTTCCTCCGTGATCCTGGGAATCACATGGGAGAAGTACTGCCAGCAGCCATTGACACTAGCTACTGAGTGGTCAGCAATTCTTGTCGGGTGATTTTTGCCACTTGGGACCTCAACTGTGTTGAAGGCCTAATAGTGGCCAATTAAGTGCCTGAAGGGTGCCTGATTCCATCTGGCCTAACCCATGGGACTGATGGGTATTCCCCCCTTGTTCTCTGACTGGAGCAGAGATCACTATTGGCCTGGCAGAATTCTGGATTGAGAGTTTGGGCACAGCAAGATCAGCTGTCTTCTCCTTTGTCATGGTCTAAAAACTTGTACCTTACTTTCGATGAGTTTCTGTCTCAAGTAGGTCATATGAATTTATCTCTGGACAGGGTTAACAGGAGGTGCATTTCAAACAATTACATTTTACCTCAGATTAATGGAGGCAGTTTAACACATGATAATCTTAAGAAGTCCAGCAGTTCATATCCTTCCGAAAGCGTGGTGCCCAGAACTGGACACAATTGAGGCCATCCTGTTATTTAAGTTCGGCATAGCTTTGTTGCTTTTCTACAGTATGCGTCCATTTACAAACTCACTCTCCCACATGCCTTTCTAATGTTTTCTCAAGACTTTCAAGCATTTGCTCATGAATACTTTGAGGTCCCTATACTCCTGCACTCCCTGTGAAATTGTATCCTGGTAAATCTCACCTGCACCTCTTCAGAACTTCCACAGCCTTCCAGTAATGTGGCGACTAGCATTGAATGCAATACTCTAAATGTGGCCTAACCAAAGCCTTTTAAAGCTGCAACAATATATCCTGACTTGTACTCAATGCCCTGACCAATAAAGGCAAGCATGCCTTTTCATCCAAGTCATTTATATGTATCACAAATAGCAGGTGTCCCAGTATGAATCTGTATACCACTAGTCAGGGACCTCCATCCAGAAAAACACCCTTGCATCACCACCCTCTGCCTTCTATGGGCAAGCCAATTCTAAATCCAAGTGGCCAAATCACTGTGGATCCCATGCATCTTAATCTTCTGGAAGAGCCTACCTTGAGGGACTTTGCCAAAGCCTTACTAAGATCTATGCAGACAATATCCACTGCTCTCCCATCATTGTTCACCTTCGTCACCTCCTCGAAAAATTCAGTTAAGTTAGTACAAAGCCATACTGACTGCCCCTAATTAGGCCATGGTTTTCCAATGAGTGTAAATCTTATCCCTAAGAATTCTCTCCAATAGCTTTCCAAACACTGATGTAACACTCAACAGTTCATAATTTCCTGGATTATAACTAATTCCCTTCTTGAACAGAGGAACAACATTAGCTACTCATAAATCCTCAGAGACCTCTCCAGTGGCTAGCAAGGATACAAAGGTCCCAGCAATATCCTCTCTTTCCTCTCTCAATTTCCTAGGGCAGACGCCATCAGGCCCTGGGGAAATATCCACCTTAATGATCTCAAGAAACCCAACACCACTTCTTTCTTGATCTTAAAATGCCCTAGCATATTAGTATGCTCCACACTAATCTGACTATCCACCATGTCCTTTTCCTGGGGTGAATACCGATGCAAAGTACGCATTTAGGATCTCGCTCACATCCTTCGCCTCCAAGCACAAGTTCACTCCTTTAACCTTGAGTGGTCCTATCCTCTCCTTAGTTATTCTCTTGTTTTTAATGTATGTGCAGAATGCCTGGGGATTCTCTTTAACCTTACTTGCCAAAGGTCATTTCATGGCCCCACCTTGTTCTCCTAATTCCCTGCTTGAGTTCTTTCCTATTTTCTTTATATTCCTCATGGCCCCTGTCCGATTTCAGTTTCCTAAACCTTACATATGCTTCTTTTTCCCTGTTGACTAAATTCACAGCCTCCTTAGTTATCCAAGGTTCCCTTATCTTGCAATCCTTGTCCTTTAGAAATTATCATTTTTTATTTATTTATCCGCAATTTTTTTGGGGGATAGTGGGAGCAGACAGTATAAATGGAGTGTCCCAATCAGACTGACTGCCAATTTTAAACTGTATATGGCAGTGACTCCTGTCTCAAGCTGGCATGATTCTCTTTATATACACAGATTAAACTTTGATAAAAACAATGCAGGTGAGACTGAAACAATGCAGTTTCAAGTCACCCCTCCCCAGCATTCTCCTGGCAAATGTCCAAGCTATTGAAAGCAAAATGGATGAACTCAGATCTAGACTTACCTTCCAGAAGGAACGGAGAGATTGCTGCGTGCTCTGTTTTACAGAGACATAGCTCATTCCTGCTATACCTGACTGTGCCTTGCAAGCTGAGGAGTTCTCTATACATTGCATGAACCACACGGCATCCTCAGGCAAGGCAATGGGCAGAGGGGTATGCCTCTTAATCAATACCTCCTGGTGCTCAGACTTGGCGACCCTGGTGAGCCACTGCTCCCAGACCTAGAATACCTTACAGTGAAATGCTGACCCTACTATCTGCCATGTGAGTTCACCTCTACCATCCTGACAGCAGGCTACATACCACCCCAAGCGGAAGTGAAGAATGTTCTGGATGAAATTTACTCCGCTACAGATATTCTGGAGACAAAATTCCCCAATGCCTTGTTCATCGTGGCAGGTGACTTCAACTAGGCCAACTTCAAGAGGATGCTGCCAAAATAACAGTAATATGTCTCCTGTCCCACTAGAGTACCAAACATCCTTGGCCACTGCTACACAACCATCAAAGACGCATACCGCTCCATACCCTGTCCACACTTAGAAAAATCGGATCACAATGCTGTGTTCCTCCTCCCGGCTTACAAGCAGAAGATGAGGTCAGTGGATCCTTCACGGAAAGTAGTACAATGCTGGTCTGAGGCAGTGGAAGAGCTTCTATGGGACTGCTTGGAATTGGTGGACTAGACCATATTCAATAATTCAGTGGACAACATAGAAGAGTACCCCATCACCACAGACTTCATTAGCAACTATGTGGAAGACTGCATGCCAAAGAAATCAATCCATGTGTTCCCCAACTGGAAAATTCACTGACTATTGAAGACCAGACTTGCAGCATTCAAATCAGACGACACAGACCTATACAGAAAATCCAGACATGACTTCTGCAAAGCCATCAGAGGTGCCAAGAGTCAATACCAGACCAAGTTAGAAGCCCAAACCAACTATATGGACACCTGCTGCCTGTGACGAGGCATACACATCATAACAGGATATAAAATGAAGCAGAACAAGATAGTGGACAAAAACACATCCCTCCCCGATGTGCGCAATGCTTTCTAAGCTTGGTTTGAGCAGAATGTCAGTGGTGTAGTGTCACCTGCCCCAGCAGCCCTGGGCGCACCTGTTCCCTCCATCATCGCTGCAGATGTCAGATCAGTCTTCCTGCAAGTCAGCCTGAGGGAAGCGACGGGCCCGGATGGACTCCCCACCTGTGCACGTAGATCTTGTGCAGATCAGCTGGTAGAGGTATTTGCTGACATCTTCGACCTCTCCTTGCTATAAAACAAAGTCCCTATCTGCCTCAACAAGACCACTAGCATCCCAGTACCAAAGAAAACATATGCAACATGCCTGAATGACTATAGCCCAGTGGCTCTGACCTCCATAAACATGGAGTGCTTTGAGAGGCTGGTCTTGGCCCACATCAACTCTAGCCTCCCAGTCTGCCTCGATCCCCTGCAGTTTGCTTACCGGCAAAATAGGCCCACAGTGGATGCCATTTCTCTAGCCCTGTAGTCATTCCTGGAACATTGGATAACAAGGACACCTATGTCAAGTTCCTATTTATTGACTACAGCTCCACCTTCAATACCATAATCCCTTCTAGACTAATCTCAAAACTCTGAGGCCCGGGTCTCGGCTCTGCTTTCTGTAACTGGATCCTCAGCTTCCTGACCCACAGGCCACAGCGAAGATAGACAACAGCATGTCCTCCATGACAGTCCTCAACACTGGCGCATTCTCAGCCTCCTACTGTACTCCTTGTACACCCACAATTGTGTAGTCAAATTCTGCATGAATGCCATCTACAAGTTTGCTGATGACACCACTGTGGTAGGATGGATATCAAACAATATTGAGTCAGAATTCAAGAAAGAGATAGAGTGCTTGGTGTCATGGTGCAATGACAACAAGCTCGGTCTCAATGTCGGCAAAAGAAAGGAACTGATCATTGGTTTCAGGAAGAAAGGAGGAGAATGTGTCCCTATCTACATCAATGGAGCTGAGGTGGAGAGGGTCATGACTGTCAAGTTCCTAGGAGTGACAATAACCAATGATCTGTCTTGGAGCTCCAACATAGATACAATGGTCTAGAAGGCACAACAATGTCTATTCTTCCTCAGGTGGCTTAGGAAATTTGGCATGTTCATAAAGACCTTCACCAACTTTTAGAAAACCATGGAAAGCATTCGGTCTGGGTGCATAACAGCCTGATACGGTAACTGCTCTACCGACAACCGTAAGAAACTACAGAAAGTTGTGTAATGAGCCCAGGCCATCACGGAAGTCAACCTCCCACCCATTTACATTGCTCATTGCTGCAGAAAGGCTGCCAACATCACCAAAGACTCCTCCCACCCTGGTAATGTTCTCTTCCAAACTCTCCCGTCAGGCGGAAGATAGAGAAGCCTGAACACACGCACCAACAGGTTCTTCCCTGCTGCTATTAGACTGCAGAATGGACCTCTCCAACATCAAATATGTTGATCTTGTTAATAGTGATCTTGCTTTGTGCACCTCTTGTGCAGCTGTAACCTTGTATTCCTCACTGTGTCTAAGTACCCCAAGATCTGCATGTCTTCGTTTGCTCTGATCTGCCTGTACTGTTCGCAAAACAAAGCTTTTCACTGTACTTAGGTACATGTGACTACACTAAATCAAATCAAACCAAATGAAATGAGGCCCAGTCTGTGGATTTAACCTGACCAGGGCAGCAGTCATGGTCACCTGCTAGGCCAAACCTCCCAAAGTAGCAGACGAATGGAACAAATTATTATATAGAGTTTGTAACACACAAATAGGCCATAGGCTAGAATGTGTAGCAGCTGGATCCCACAAGAAAAACAATGCCAAGGATTTATGCTCCTAAGTTTGTTGCACATTTAGAACTGGAAATCAGGTCCACCATCCTAGATAGGCCACAGGGGTTGCTGAATGGCAAGGCATGGTAGTTAAAAGGACTGCCTTGATTCTCTGAGATTTGTCCCAGTTGTCTTGTTAAATATTAAGTCCTCTAGCCCTTACCCTCATTCAATAGAACAGGAAACTTCTCTTGAAACTGCAAGCACAGGCTCTTAACCCACATGTACAGGAAGCCTTTGTTTTACAAATTTAAAGGGAAGACTATTTAAATATATAAACTTGGTAGTTGTATAGGCCTTTTCAGTCTTTTGCAAGCATTTATGTTTTCTTTTAAAATCATAGATCATACAAAGCTTGGCCTTATTTACTCCTGTCCTCAGCATCACATCTCCCCCTGTCAGTTTATTGTGTTTGCCTCTAATGGACATGCATTTTTCTGGGGACCTTTCTTGTGGTGCTAAATTAAACTGACTTGTTCTCTATTTCTCCCCTAGTAATTGTTGTAAATTGTGGTTCTTAACTAGTAAGCTAGAGGCATTATCAGTGTGAACCAGCCATCCTGTACCTTAAATAAGGTAGTGATATTATCTAGAGAAGGACAATTATGGAGCGGCACATAAGCTGAAAGGACCGTCTCAAACCTTTTGAATAGAGACCATTGAACTGCTTTCCCAGTCTTTTCCTCCACCCAACACACCCATTTTTCTTTTCCTGTCATTGTCTATCCATATGTATATGCAAGGTACAGTTTATAAGGGGGTTAGAGTTTTCACTAATGGAGTTATATGCCAACGGTACATAACTGGTTATCTAGCTAGACTATTATTACAAATACTTATTCAGACCAGAAGCCTAGTCTGTACTCTTTTTCAACTTGGGTCTAAAAGACAGGTAAATTGGGGAAACCTGTGTACCTTTTAAAATCTTTAACTTTTTGATGACAATGGAAATATTGGAGCTTGATTTCCCCTGCACTACACAGTGACACAAAACAATACAACTGGGGAGTTCTGGCAGGGTACATTCAAAATCCTATTGTAGATGGCAGAATCAATTCTGGATAGAATGGTAGATATCTATCTTTCCTTTCCAGCAGAGAGTATATCTTGTGCTTGATTCTTCAGCGGACCCTCCCAAGGAAGGCAAGTCTCAGAGGGCTGCAATGTTAAGTTGGAGTTTCAATTGTTCATGATATGATTGCAGTTCTCTTTTTCTGGACAGTCACTCTTGAGATTATCCATGAAAGTTTTAACTTCCAAGTTGCAAAATTTATAATGTTAATTTTTTGATCACATGGATGGTGATTCCACACAGTGTGGTTTGCCAGCTGGAGAAAGTGGAACAGGCTATCTTTAGTGCACTTTTTCTAGCCTATTCCCCATCTGGAATGCACGGAGATTATTTGGAAGAGAACTGTACAGCACGGCACATATTCTACTACTAGAATACAGGTGTCTAACAACATTTATGTATCCGCCCCCTACGTGCTAATTCTTAACTACAGCATGCAGCCTGGCTTAGGAGTTATAGAGAAGGTCATCAGCTGTGGAGTAGATTATAAAAGCCTAGTTAAAAGGCCATAAGAGGCTCAATAACCTCTTAGGATCAGCCAGGATGAATGCATAAGCATCACAGAAATTGACATTTTTTGCAGCGTGGGAGGGTGTGATGTGTGTTTGTGGGGTTGTCTAATATGTGTGCCAAATGCACAAGGTGGCATATAGCAGACATTCCATATTGCATTGCAACAGAGGATTATAGGTTTTTCAAGGTGTGTGGATAATGTTCGGGGTTGTACTTATGAACAGATCTGTGATTTTGCAAAGATAGTTGAAAAGCGTTAGTGGCTAACAACTGACACTTTGGGCAGACAACTGAAAGCATGATTTTCCACAAAGATTCATTCCAACATCTCTTTTTCTTTGCAGGAAAAGGGAACATGGATGTTATTTAAAAAAAACTTCAAAGACAAAAAAAGCAGGCGACTTACTTACACTTGCTCGTTTGGGGTTAATTGAAATTTTAACACAGTCAATTGACCATTAATTTACATATGGTGGGCAGGCTGATTTCTCAATACCCAGGCACCCTCCAAATTATGGCACGGGATTGGCAAGTTGGTAAGCTAGTAACCTGACCTGAATTGTGTGTGTCCACACTGGAGACACAACTGGCAGGGCATGTAATATCAAATTACATACAATTATCTTTCCTTTTCAAAGACTATGGCTACTTAGCCTACCCAGGCAATGAATCTTTTGTAATATTTGAGCTGTTGAGGAAGAGTATATTTGAAAGCACTAACTGTATTTTATTGTTTGGTTGATATGAAGAGAATTAGTGTGCAGAAGTGTCTTAATTGGAGTGTATGATCCAGACAAATCATTCCCCAAGATCCTCTCAGGTTGATGGAAAAAATAATTAAATCTTTCTTATAATGACAAATGCTCTTCCACAGTTAATGTAAAAACGTTGTGAAAATGATTCTGCATTTCCCAAGTAAGACCAACATTTAAGAATCACAAATTTCTGAGACTGTGAGCATTCCAAAACGCTGAAATGCAATGAAGCACAAAAATGTCAACTTCACTGTCAGAAAGGAACTTGTATTTTCAAAGACTTGTGCTAATTAATAATAACTGCAACAAAACTTTGGAAACATCTACATTACCTGTCTTCATGTTCTTTCATCTCTGCTACAGCCTGTTGTGTATGACGAAGAGCTGCCTCATACTTCTCCTGGCTAGTCTTGGAGGACATTTCCAACTCTGCTCGTAATTTGACCAAGTCTTTCTGTAACCGTTTATTATCATACCCCAATTCACTAATAGAGGCCATGTAAGCATTTTGCATCTCCTTAACTTGATAACCTTCTATCTGCAAAGGAAGAAGTAAATGTACTGAAATACCATCAATCTTAAGAATACGTAGTCAATAATATGAAGAAACTATTTTATTGATCTTACACTGTAAAGTTCTAAATTGCATTTTTTCATAGAATATGTGAAGGAAATAATTGCATTTATGTCTGATAAATTACCGAAACAAATAACATGCTAATATATTCATAAACTCAAGTTCCTAAATTTAGACAGTGGGCAGATTAACACCTATTAAAACTGCAAAATAACACAAGACAAAAGTACATAACATACATAAGTACATGGGCTACAACACAGAGTTATCAAACAATGTTATGACACTAAGTTGGCAATTTATTATCAGTTGATTTATCCCACCCGTTTTAGAGGTGTAGGATTGGGCTTTACAATTCTCACTCAATAATTTTTCATCAGATCAGGGAAATGCAACAGTAGAATATGATATATGATCATATTATCACATTTGCTGAACTCTGCAGTTTTCCAGTGATGGATCTTCTGCACAATTTATGCATATTATTATCCCAGCAGATGTTATTAACCAGACAAGTCCAATCCTGGTCAGGGACCTGGCTTGATAAATCATATTTCTTTTGTTTTGGCTTTAACAGAATGGTCTCTCATTAAACTATAAGCACACAACGCTGCAGATTTTGCTTTCACAATAGATCAGAAATTCATTACAAAAGTACTGCAGATAGTTTGGATTATTCTATTTTATCTACTTATAAAACAAATTAAAAGATTGTAGACACAGTGAAAGTATAATCCATCAGTCCTAAAGCATTCCTTTGTAAATTGTAAAGAAACAAGACAAGTTTTGTGTGCTTCCCAAAATACCCCTCTTGGCACAATACTCAAAATAACACTCCTTGTACTGTAGCCAAAACACCGCTTGTATAATACAAAGTATCCCTGTATATAACACTTAGGTAGGTTTAAGTCATTTGAAACTTCAATTTTTAAAGAAGAATTGCAGTAGTTTTTGGAGCTACCACACTTGAGCTTCACTGCACTCAGCATAAGTAATCATTTCTGAGTTTTTATCTGGTCTGGAACCAACACTAACTATTCACTCTAAGGATCTAATTCACTATATCCACCTCTTCTTGGGAGCACCACTCTATGTAGTCATCTTGATACAAGGTCTTTCCAGTGCTAAGACTCCATCCAAAGTGATAAAGAGAATGATAATAACAGTTTTTAAGCAAGAGAATGATAGTTTCTCTTACTCTGCCAAGGACACTGGCCCCATGTTTAAAATTAGATTCCAGAATTCTGCAACAAACCTGGAAGCCGCAATATTTATTCTGCTGGTTTGCAAGCAATCTAAATGAACAAAAGTCCATTAGTGCAAAACTCATTCACTGTACAGCCAGATTTTAAAAATTACCCTGGTTATAGAAATACATGCAAGTTAATTATCAACTTCAGAGACACAGTAAAACCTACTAGTTACTAGCTCAACCTCAGAAATGCAAGCTTGCAGCAATTAAAATGAACAATTATACAAATAAATCCTACAGTTTACTTTGTGTATGCACATATGAGAAGGTGCATGCTTATTCTTTACAAGAGGGAAACATAACATCAATTGCTAATTGCATATGATGAACATGAAGCACATGAAATTCAGATCTATAGCTCCCACAGAGACAGAGCTACATAAGATTCTATTGTGTCAGCCCCTTTTAGAATCTTTTAAATCTAAATTATATCTCCTCTTATTCTTCATCCAATTTTTGGAGGAGCCCTCAGCATATAGTGCTGGACCTTAAAATATGCCAGTCTACAAAATATATTCAGTCCTTTGTACTGGAAGACCAGCAAGATTCAGGCAGACCAAAGAGCACCTTGGCTGTCAAATTGTAATGTTAATCGGCCAGATTTACTACACAGGTGAGTCCGATATCCCTGCCTTTCCAGATGGCTGGCCTGCTTTATGCATTCTGGCTACTGTGTCAAAACTAGCAGCTGCCACTAATGTATACAGGTATTAAAGCCAGCTATATTGACATACTAAAAGTGGCAGAAAATATGAAGGTGGCTATTAATAGCTTCATATTTTCTACCACTTAGAGTAGTGTACTGATAGTGTGACCTGGCTTTTTATCCAAGAGCTGTTATTGAATGTCTTCAAAGGGCATTGAAGCCACATTAGGTGGAGGTAGCTATTACGAGGGGGCATAGTTTTAAAGTGAGTGGAGGTAGATATAGGGGAGACGTCAGAGGTAGGTTCTTTACTCGGAGAGTGGTAGGGGCGTGGAATGCATTGCTGGAGAGGGTAATGGAGTCGGCCTCATTAGGGGCATTTAAGCGGCAATTAGATAGGCATATGGATGATAGTATAAGGTAGGGGTGGAGGTTAGATAGACCTTAGGTTTAGGGTAAAAGTTCGGCACAACATTGTGGGCTGAAGGGCTTATACTGTGCTGTACTGTTCTATGAGCTCCATAACCCTCTCAGACAGCCCAGTTTTTGAGAAATCAGTCCTTGCTTTTTACATAGTACCAGCTCATTGATGAGGGCAAAGCCTGCAATTTTTCAGAAGCTGACCTTTCTGACTGGACAGTTAGTTAGCACTTCAAATCTGATTAAAGACTTCCAGTAAGACCTGTTAGAGAAAAAGCAAGGCCATAACGTTAACACACCACTTAGATAGCAAAAAAGATGACGCAGTTGAGACTACACATCAATACAGATGAACCACCTGACAACCTAGACACTGCAAAAGACAATAGCAGAAACAGCAAAGTCCTGCAAAGTCCTCTTTACTAGCATCTGATGGCTAGTGCCAAAATTGGGGGAGAGCTGTCTTACAGACTAGTCAAGCACAACCTGACACAGCCATGCTCATGGAATCACACTTTATGGACAATGGCCCAGACACCACCATCACCATCCATGGATATGTCCTGTGCCACCAGTAGGACATACCCAGCAGTGATGGTGGTACAGTTGGATACGGTCAGGAGGGAGTTGCTCTGGGAGTCCTTCTCATCAATTTCAGACCCCATGAAGTCTCATGACTTCAGGTTAAACGTGGACAAGGAAACCTACTGCTGATTACCAGGTACCATCCTACCTAAGGTGATGAATCAGTATTCATCCATGCTGAACAACACTTGAATGAAGCACTGAGGATGACAATGGCGCAAAATGTACTCTGGGAAGGGTATTGCAATGTCCACCACCAAGAGTGGTTTGGCAGGAGCACTACTGATTGAGCTGGTTGTGTTCTAAAGGGCATAGCTGCTAGACTGGGTCTGCAGCAGGTAGTGAGAGAACCAACAAGAGGAAGAAACATACTTGACCTGATCCTTACCAATCCGCCAGCTGCAGGTGTATTTGTTTATGGCTGTATCAGTAAGAGTGACCACTACGCAGTCCTTGTGGAGACAAAGTCTCACCTTCACATTCAGAATGTGTTGTGTGGCATTATCACTTTGATAAAACTTTGAACAGATCTAGCCACTCAAGACTGAGCATCCATGAGGTGCTGTGGGCCATCAACAGCAGCAGAATTGTACTCCAACACAATCTGAAACCTCATGGCCAAGCATATCACCTATTCAACGATTACCATCAAGCCAGGGGATCAACCCCGGTTCAATGCAGAGTGCAGGAGAGCATGCCAGGAGCAGCACCAGGCATATCTAAAAATGAGGTGTCAACCTGGTGAAGCTACCAAACTGGACTACTTGCATGCCAAACAGCATAAGCAGCAAGTGATAAACAAAGCTAAGTGATCTCACAACCAACAGATCAGATTTAAGCTCTGTAGTCCTGCCACATTGTATTGTGAATGGCAGCGGATCACTAAACGACTCACTGGAGGAGGAGTCTCCACAAGTATCCCCACCCTTAATAATGGAAGACCCCACCACATGAGTGCAAAAGATACAGCTTGATGCATTCGCAAGAAACTTCAGCCAGACATGCAAAATGGATGATCCATCTTGGCCTCCTGCAGTGTTCCCCAACAGGGTGGGGACAGTGAAGAAGACAGAGCAACACAGTGGCTCAGTGGTTAGCACTGCTGCCTCACAGGTTCAATTCCATCCTTGGGTGACTGTCTGTGTGGAGTTTGCACATTCTCTCCGTGTCTGCATGGGTTTTCACTCGGTGTTCTAGTTTCCTCCCACAGTCCAAAGATGTGCACGTTAGATGCATTGGCTGTACTAAATTACCCATAGTGTTCAGCATGTCTAGGTTAGGTACATCAGCCATGGGAAATGCAGTGCTATATAGTAGTGGGATGGGTCTGGGTGGGATGCTGTTTGGAGGGTCAGTGTAGGCTCATTGGGCTGAATGGCCTGTTTCCACACCATAGGCATTCTATTCATTAAAGACCAGTCTTCAACCAATTTGATTCACTCCATGCGATATCAATAAATGATTGGAGGCACTGGATTTTGCAAAGGTTTTGGGCCTTGACAACATTCCACCAACAATACTGAAGACTTGTGCTTCAGAACTTGCAGCTCCCCTAGCTAAGCTCTTCCACTGGCGTCTACCTGAATGTGGAAAATTGCCCAGGTATTTCTTGCACACATTGAAGATGACAAATCCAACCTGGCCAATTACTGCCCCATCAGTCTACTCTTGATCTTCCATGAAGTGATGGAAGGTGTCATCTACAGTGCTATCAAGTAATACTTGCTCAGGAATAACCTGGTTAGGTGATGGTCAGTTGCATTCTGCCAGAGCCACTCAGCTCCTAACCTCATTATAACTTTGGTTCAAACAGAAATAAAAGTGTAGTATTCCAGAGGTGAGGCGAGAGTGATAGCCCTTGACATCAAGGCCGGATTCAACCATTTGTGGCATAAAAGGAGTCCGGCAAAACTGGAATCAAGGGGCAAAATCTCTGCTGGTTGGAGTCATACCTGCACGAGAAGGTGTTGTGAATGTTGGAGATCTGTCATCTCACCTCCAGGACATCTCTGCAGGAGTTCCTCAATTTAAAGTCTGAGGCCCAACCATCTTCAGCTGCTTCATCAATGACCTTCCATCCATCAAAAGGTCAGAAGTGGATATGTTTGCTGATGATTGCACAACTTCAACATTTTTGGGACTCCTCAGTATTGAGTATATTCTTGCATGCCCACAATGTTTACACGTTTTACTTGTTGCACTGAGAAAGCCATCTCTGACACCTGATAAAATTGTTATACCTGATTGGTAGGGTTATGCAAGCAGAGAGTTTTGAATGTCCTCTGTTGGTGTTCTATTACTTTGAGACTTTGTCAATCTGGCTTCCTGGAGCTAGTGTTTGCTGGGGATCCTCCTAAACTTTTTTTTTGGTTGTAGTTTGCTACTTGTAGTGGTTTGCTGCTGTGAGGGTCTTATCTGGCTTATATTGTTTTATGAAAGTGTTCCAGTGTTCTTTACTGGTGTTCTCTTTCTGGTCAATCCTGATCCACACAGGATCAGCCACGTAATTCACTTCAGATGAGAGCCACCTCTCGCCATCGGCTTTGGACGTAATTTTACACCTTTATAACTCATCATCTTTGTTGATTTCCTCATAACCATTTCTGACCTACCTGATCACCAGTCTGCAAACACTTCTTCAATGTCTTGTTTCTTCTGGGGAGGGGCCCTGGAGATAGTGTTTGACAGCTTGATGTCACAACCTGTGTCCCTCTTCTGCATCTTTCCATGTCATGCTTTTCCAACCGGAAGACTTGGAGGAAGGGGAAATACTGGTCCACTTTGCAGCAGCCAAGTTTGTTATGCCTTCCTTGTGCCTTCTTTGTTTATAACAATCTGGGTATTACACAGCACACAATTCAGGCAGTTCTCGTAGGTGTGGCCTGCCATGTATATGCTGTAATTAGTTACTCTGTAATGCTTTGTCTGGTGCCTTCCCTGGGGTTGAGGTTCTTGCAGATGGCAGAACTACAGTTGTCTACTGATTAACAGATTTGCCAAAGGTGTGTTAAACTCTGGGTTGTCTGCATCAACTAAGCAGCTGCAGTTTTCTCCAATGGCAAAGCTGGAGAAAGGGTGAAGAATGACTCACATGCCCTCTGCCTCCACTTTGACTTGTCATTTGCTGTTCCAAATCCTGAAGATCCTTGATCTCAGTGCTGTGCTAACTACCTCGAGGTACCTGGAAATGCCCTCTGCCAAATTCAAGCCAGACTCCATCATACTCATTTACAGTAACATAACCCCATCAGGTAAGCTAACCAATGCTACTAATATCTTGGTGAGAGTGCTCATCAGAGTTCTGCTGTATGCTGACCTCTTGAGATCCTTATCTGAGTTTTCTGCAGTGTTCACAAGATTGCTGTCTATGGAGCCGGGACATGAATCATCCTTTTTCCTCGACCTGGTTGCTGACTCACCAAGTTCCATATCCATACTGAAAAAGATTTAGCAGTTCGATTATCTGAACTGGTGGCTGTAAATGTCAGATCAAGTCAAGACACTTCTTCGTAAATGCTAAACTGTTTCTCTCACTCCCTCTCTGGGGTTGCTGTGGCAGAAGACAGTTCTTGGCTCTTTGAAAGCAATTTTGAGCTGTGGCAAGGGTAAATAAGAAGTTTATTTTAATACTAACTATGGCTTACTCAACATGCCAGATAGCAATTAGTCGGGAGTAGAAAGGGGCATAAAGCAGCAACATTCTGCTTTCTTCATTGCTCTCGGAAGATCACATTCTATTGCAAATGGCCACGTGATGGATAGCCGTGTACTCTAAAGGTATCAGGCGATGCAGGAATTTTTGTCACCCACTAGTTTGTTGCATTGTGTGTCAATATGTCCTGCAAGAGAGAAGTGACTACATTGATGTTTGGGTGATCCATCTACCGCAGCTGCATAGCTAGAGGAACATGGAGGCTGTGAGGCTGGTAGCACTGACAGATGCATCTGAATGAAATAGAATATTCATTGGAGAAGACGTTGAGTACAAGTCCTGAGTTCCTTGGAGATGCTGATGGCTGCGGTACTGCAGGTTTGTGAAGCATTAAGCAATGTGAAAGACTGAGGGCATGGGTCTAGGAAGTCAAGTGAAGATACATTCACTAACCTTGATCACTCATGCAAAATCATTAGACTTCATGTGACACTGCTGCCAGATCACCTAGGCCAGATGCTGAGAACTGACCTCCCTGGCTACCAGATCCCAATCCCCCGTGGGTGATCCTTGAGGGCCTCCTTGTCTATCCCAGAGCCATCATGATTCTCCTCTCTCTACAACTACATTCAGAGCATCCATTGTCCCAGAATCCTTTCTCTATGCTGGTATTCCATTTTCTTTGTTTATAAACAAAGCAATAGTATTAAGCACCTACCTCCTAAAATATAGTGCAAATTTCCATTATGAGGGACAGACTGCCTGTAAGAGCAGAATATCGAGTGGCACACACTGTCTATACAAATGCTGCTTGGTTTCTTGCTGTATGCAGCAGTCTTGCTGATATGCAGCACTTCATTACAACCATTTAAAGGAAATGGAAGCAGAAAATGTATGTGCTCCTATCTTTATCAGGACTGGCCTGGGCAGGCTATGAATTGCGAATGTGTTAAAAATAATTAAGTAAACTCATTTTTAATACTAGATACTTGCTTTTAGGTCCGTGTGCCAGAATTCACTGGTCATTGGCCCCAAGCAAAACTAAAGCCGAGCAAGCCCTTAGAAAGTGTTGCTTTGCAAAGATACAAAACAAACTGGAAAGCAAGAGAGGGAATAAAAATTTCAGAAAAACTATTTTGCTCAGTTTGTATGCATCCACAAATCAGACCATCCTCCTCCAAAATTTTGTCCAAAGCCTCCAAATGAAATTTTTGACACCATGAAAAACTATGCCTGCTGGAAATCTGAAACAAAAACAGAAATATCCAGAGAAACCCTGCAGAGCCAACGCTTTAGATCCAGTAACCCTACATCAGAATAGTTTTGAAAAAGGGTCACTGAACCAGAAACATTGACTCTGCTTTCTCTTCACTGATGTTACTAGGCCTGCTGAGTTTTTCCAGCTATTTATGTTTTTAAACTAAATTCTTGCTTTAGTTTTGGCAAGTCTTCTAATTAAAAGTTCTTGATGCTTGAAGTCAGCGCAGGTAAATAAATGGTGCAGCTTGGAGTTGCTTAGGCTTACAACTCACAGGGAATGAGGGGCAGATCAGGAAAGGGACAGAACAGGAAAGGGAAAGCAACTGTTTTACTGAAGTCACAAATATTAATTATATTTTTAGAAACTGATTACATATCAATCCCCATTTTTAGAAGTAAATGTCAAAAAATAAAGCACTGTTGCACAATGACAAAGTTTGTTAATAATTGCTAACTTTGAATTTACTAATTTAACCTGCACTGTTCTAACAGATTTCAAAATGTGCACTTGATGCTTCATCTCAAGATGAATTGAGAAGTTGGCTGCTAAATTAGCCATAGCCTGTTATCTGAGCTCCAGGAGTCAGATCCACAGCAGTTTTTACATTTGTTTTTCTACTTCTTCAGCACACCGCACCAAAAAAGGAGCAAAAAATAAGTACATTTTAAATACATAAAAAGGAGATTTGCTTTTGTTCTCATATTCTAACAAATTCTATTTATTTTTAAAAATGTACTTGACAATATTGTAATTTTCCACATTTCACTTCAATTTACCATTGGTATTCTGCCCTCCAGAGTTTGCAGATTTTTCTTCAACTGTTGGTTCTCTGCTTTAAGAGATCCAAGCTGCTCCTTAGCCACCTGTAAATTCATACAAAACTCAAGTTATACACAACTCCATTACATATGTTTGAGAATTTAAGAATTCTTAAAATCATGTTTACTTAAAATGAGAAATGGATTATTTTCACATTTTAGAGCACTTCTGTGAGCATCAGCATTCTCAGTGACAGTGCAGTTGAAAATATTCCTTATTATGCATTTTATTGCTTCATACGCCCATGTTAGAATAATACCCTCCAACACAAAGTGAAGAACATCTGCCAAATATATTTATTAATGGTTCCAAATAAAAAGCAAACATTATTGTATTTTAAAAATTACTAACTTTTCATATCAGCACCTAATATTTTACAAATTTTGACTCAGTTGACATCTGTTTGCTGACAGATCTACTACAAACATCAGTTAAGTTGCTCTCCTATTCTTCAGAACCAGTTTTGTTATTCAGTGCACTACAAGAAACAGATCTCTTCACAACGAGAAGAGATTTCAAACAATATTTTCTTATGAGCTGCTGACAAAATTTTAAACCAAAAATTCTCCATCATTCTCTCAAAAGTAATATTTACTTTTCAACAGAGCTATGCACTTGATATAAAAGCCAAATAGACAGAGAAATTTTATATTTTCCTGTTCTATATTATCAACTTCAAATTATTTTGATCTTTCCTGATGGTATAGGTAAAAAAGAAAGAAAGGGATATATAAATAATAAAACCAGCAACACACATTGGTGATGCAAATTCATGGCCTCAGATATGCAAAATAAGAGATTAGAAAATAGGTTTGTCAGTGTATAAGTTTGCAGGGCTACAGGGAATAGGTGGTTGTGTGGTTCGAACCAAGTAGCTCTTGCAGAGAATGGCAAGACCACTATGGCTGAAAAGCCTCTTTCCATGCTGGAACCTGTTAAGACACAAACACTTGTTATTTTAACTGTGAAGATATATATTTTATAGAAGGTGTAAAACCCACCACTTTTCTTGCGCAGAGTCTATAGGTGTGACGCTGGGAAAGCACAGCAGGTCAGACAGCATCTGAGAAGCAGGTGAGTCAACATTTTAGGACTGAAGAAGGGTTTTGGCCCAACACATTGACTCGCCTGCCACTCGGATTCTGTCTGACCTGCTGTGCTTTTCCAGCCTCATAACCTATAGTCTGTGGCTTCCAGCATCTGCAGTCCTTATTCTTCTTGTACAACTTGTTTCAACAGCTAATTTAGTTGTAGAAAAATGCAAAGCTCACTAAACTAAATTAAAGCTTTAAGATGTTCCCCAACCTTCATTATATTGTTAAAGAATTAATTTTTAAGATTAGCTGTTAACTGATCCACTTATATATTTGCTCTATACAATTTCACACACCCAATATTCAGCCAATATTTGTTCTGTTTTCTCCAGCTCAATTTTGAGTTGCTTTTCCAGGTAAGCAGCTTTCTCTGTGACAGTTGTTATGGTGATTTCTTTTTGATCGAGTTCTATAGTCAGGTTGGAGATCTCTGTTCGAATTTCTACCATCTCAGAACTATGCAACTGCTCCTCCTGACATAGACAGTCCCTCAACTGCAAAAAGATACAACACAAAATAGGTATTTGAAATATTTTGGTGATCAAGTGACATGGTTATATCTTTTAATTTAGAGCCAGAGAATTTAAGGAGCTATATTTTATTGCTTCTCAGGTAGAATATAATGATAATGGAGATGATTCAGTTATTGGAATAAGAATTTGTAATTAGAAGGTCCTCTAAATTAGATCTTTTCTCAATTAAGGACTTTAAACAAAAATGTCAGAAGAGGAATACCGATTTTCTCTGTCTAATGCAATGAAGAAAATCATGACAGTCAATTGATTTGTGATTCTGGGGTGTGCAAAAGCAAGACCACAACAAATGGAGCAGGGAAGATGGACCGGTTAAGTCATTTTCAGTCCTTCATTACCCTATGTATATCCAATATTCATTTTATAAAGCTAAAGTGTGATATGATTTGAGCCTTTGAGAGAGTTAAAACAATGCAGCCTAACAATCAATAACATTGCATGATAGGCTAATGAATGTGCAAAATAACGTTTTCCCTTAAAACTGTAATTTATTTTGAGCAAACCTCAAAAAATGTTATTGCTGTTGGAGCTTTCCTAGTAATGAAACATGCCAGAGCTCGGGAAAAATTAACTGAAGTAGGTGACTTTACAATTCCTATTTTTGACTTAAAGAGCCATGCTAGACTGTGCTAAAGAAAGCTGGCAGTGATGAATTATGTGCTATAAGGAACATTGTACAAAATTGTAAATTCTCACGGCTATGTGATGAGACAGACTGAATAATATAACTGTGGTACTGACATACTTTATTGACTTCCTTGTTCGCTTCCACATATTCATTCTGCAATCTCTGTAACTCCTCCTCTTTTCTGCTGAGTTCATCATTCTGCTGCCTGCAATATGTATGGGATAACTCAAGCCTAAGGAAAAACAATTCACATTTTCATCTCCATGTGCATCTTCGTATAAATGAATTATAGCCATCAGTTTAAGCATTTATTTGGGAAGGAACAAATTTCCATATCTGTGAGTTTGTGACATTGCAACTTTAATGGATCAATTTTATAAACATGCAGAGATAAGAATAAATTCCTGTATGCCTGCAAAGTTTTGAGTTTACAACAATATAACAATAGAACTGAACATCATAATACTTAAATAACTTAATGAAAACTGAAGTTTTACTGTTTCTGATTCTTATTTTAGAGATGGGAAGGAGATATAAATGGCAGTAGACAAAGTGAAAAACATGCTATGGTTTTAGTACATGACACCATTTTTCATAGAATCTCTATAGGCGGAAAGAGGCCATTTGGCCCATTGAAACTGCTGTACTGAATGCAACCCGTACAATATGATAATGGGCCAAGGAGTACGTGAGAATGCTTGCTTTTAGCATAGTCACCCAATGTCATAACATGACTAGGTATGGATGGATAAAAAGCATGGAAGGATGGAATCAGGCTCTAAAGTAGTTGAACTCTACATTGAGTGCTGGAAAGCCATAGGAGCCCTAAGTAGAAAATTAGATTTTTTTCTTTGAGCTTGCACTGAAGCTTGCTGGGACGCTGCAGCAGGCCTGTGACAGAAATACTGGTCAGGGAACATGGTGGTGTGTTGAAGTGGCAGGCAGTGGAAGCTCAAGGTCATTTTTTAAAATTCAAGACATCTAGGTAGGAACCATTAGAGTCAATTTGGAAGGTCCTTAAAAGGCTTTAATTTTACTGTGATGTAAATACACAAAATAGGAAGGTTGGCTTGATTCAGTAGTCCATTTCATTTAGAACTATTTCAGTCACAGCCTTTTACCTACTCTGCATTTAACCTCAGGATCTCTGTCTGCAGCAGTGTTTCAGTCTTACTGCTGGCCCAAAGATGTTTCAACGAACTTTGACATTCCATTTCAAAATTAGTTAGTTCACCAGTCATCATATTTGATGAATTTTGTTTCATTAACCTGTTAGGAAAGAAGTTAAAATCAGCAAATTATGAAGAAAATGCCTTGCCTTTAACAAGTGTCTCGCATAACCCCAGAATGTATTAAAGTGCTTTATAGCCAATTACAACAATAATTAAGAGCACACTCATTTTTATAATTTAAAATATCAATATAGGAGTCAAACTCCTACTGCACAGAAATAGAGACTTCTGTCCAACACGTCCCCATACCGACCAAGTTTCCCAAACTAAACCAGTCCCACTTACCTACATTTGGCCCATATCCCAATAAACCTTTCTTATTGATGTACCTGTCCAAATGTCTTTTGAATGCTGTAATTGTACCTACATCTACCACTTCCTCTGGCAGTTTATTCCATATACGAACCACGCTCTGAGAGAAAAAGTTGCCCTCACATCTGGTGGTGGGTATCTGGAACTTACTGTCTGTAAGGGTGGTAGAGGCAGAAACCCTCATAACAATTAAGTAGTAATTAGAAGTGCACTTGTGATGCCAAGGCATTTAAGGCTATGGGTTAAGTGCTGGAAAATGGGATTAGAACAATTAAGTGGTTGTTTTTGACTGGCACAGACTCTATGAGCACCACAAATGGCCTTTGACGTTTTACATTTACTATAGTGATTGTTGCAGAGTGTCATGACGCCCTTCTAATGTGTGATAACTAACTCGATTTTCCTTCGATTAGCACCGTGGCTTCTTATTTTGAAATGATATTGCCTAGCTTTAAAGTAAGTATTTAGTTTCTTGAATGTTTGAAAAAAGTATTGCATTATTAATATGCCTGTTTATCTTCCTTGAAGCTTGAAGTTAAACTTTAATTGGCTTTAGTTCTGAGGAAGGGTCACCGGACCCAAAACGTTAACTCTGTTTTCTCCTTCACAGATGCTGCCAGACCTGCTGAGCTTTTCCAGCAACTTTGTTTTTGTTCCTGTCTTTAATTGGCTTTTATGTGCACGTGGAAGCTAAAGTCAAGTATGGGATAGTACAGCAATGTCTTCATGTCACTAGTGTAGACATTTTCACTGAGCATAGGAAGTTGAAGGGTGACCTTGTCGAGGTTTACCAAATCATGAGGGGCGTGGACACGATGAATAGCAAAAGCCTTTTCTATTGGATAGGGGAGTTCAAAATTAGATGGCATATTTTTAATGCAAGAGGAGAATGATTTAACATGAAAAGCTGGATTAATAGCCTAATGATAATAGCACTAAGTCATCACCTCCCCAAACACCCTGGTAAATCTCCTCTTCACCTTCTCCAGTGTGATAACATCCTTCCTATAATATGAATTCCAGACCTATACATAATGCTCTGGCTGAGGCCTAACCAATGTTTTATACAGCTTCAGCATAATGTACTTGCTTTTAAACTCTGTGCCTTGGCTGATGAGGGTGAGAAACAATGAGTACAGCAAGATCCCACAAACAGCATCATGAAAGTGACCAGATAACCTGCTTTTCATGAAGGAATAAAGATTTATCAAGACATTAGTAGGACTCCCCATTTTTCTTTAGAATAGTGACACAGAATATTCTAACCTTGAAGGCAGAAGAGGCTTCAATTTAATGCATCATCTGAAAGACCGTTCCTTTGTTATGTTTAGAGGCTATTTCAAATGTATACAAAACCTCACTGTTCTCAAAAACATCTCATTTTCAACTTATCCATAGAAGTGAGTATACCTGTGAACTATCCAACTGGATATCTTTTCCATTGAACTAGTGATTTAGTATAGCGGATATACATTGTTCTGACTCTGTCAACAAGCTGGGATATCAATTGGATAGATCTTCCAAAGAGCCAGAAGAGGGGTGACAGACCAAATAGTTTCCGAATGTGCTGCATCATTCATCATAAAACCGGATATTCATGATCATGGATAAGAGAAGGAGGAAGATACCAATCAGATTGAACCATGCATGAAGCTGGAAGATATTAGCAGAGTGTTAAATAAGTACTTCCCATCTGTCTGTACTCAGGAGATGTCAAATACAAGCACAGAATTTGAGAAGATGGACTGTGCTCTTGATCAGGAAAACCTAAGCAGCAAGCAGGTATTGGAGGTTTTAGTGGATTAAAAAGTGGACAAATCCCAGGTCTGGATGAGTTGTATCCCAGGGTGCTGCAGGAGACAAAGGAAATAAATTACAGGGGCCTTGACCCAAATTTTTAAATCATCTCTGGCCACAGGTAAGGTTCCAGAGGACAACTAATATAACTTCACTTTCCAAGAAGAGTGATAGAAATAGGCTAAGTAACTATAGACCAGTGGGTCCAACATCAGTGGTAGGGAAACTATTGGAGAAAATAGTGAATGAGAAAATTAATCTCTATTGTGAGAGGCAAGGTTTGATCAGGGATAGTCAACATGGCTTTGACAGAGGAAGATCATGCCTGGCAAATCTGGTAGAATTATTTGAGGAGATGACCAAGTATTTGGATCAGGATAGGGCAATTGGTGTAGTTTATGGATTTCAGAAAGGTCTTTGACAAGGTCCCACATGGGAAACTGATGAAGGTAGTAAAAGCTCAAGAGATCCAGGGTAATTTGGCAAGTTGAATCCAAAATTGGCTAGTGCCAGGAGACAGAAGGTGCTGATAGAAGGTTGTTTGTGACTGGAACCTGGAATGTAGTGGCGTACCAAAGATCAGTGCTGAGTCCCTTATTATTTGTAATATTCATAAATGATGCAGATGAGAATGTTGGAGTGATGATAAATAAGTTTGCAGAAGACACAAAGATTGACTGGGTGGTTGTCAGTGAGGAAGGTGGTATTAGGTTACAGAAGGATATGAACCAATTAGTCAGATGGGCAGATCAGTAGCAGATGAAATTTAACCCTGGTAAATCGGAGGTGACGCACTTTAGAAGGAGGAACAAGGGAGTACCCAATGAATGGCAGGACACTAGGATGCTCAGAGGAACAAGGGGATCTTGGGGAGCTTGTCCACAGATCCCCCTGAAGGTACTGAACAGGTTAATAAACTAGAAAAGGAATGTGGGGCGCTAGTCTTTGTCAGTGGTTTTAATAGATTATAAGGGTAGGGAGGCCATGTTAGGCCACAGCTGGATTATTGTGTGCAGTTCTAGTTACCACACTCCAGTGATTTCGCTGGAGAGGAGATGGTATGGAGTTGCTTAGGTGTGAAGAGAGGATGGATAGGTTCAGGTTGTTTCCTTTGGAACAGAAGGGGAATCTGATAGAGGTGTATAAGATTATGAGGGACATGAACAGGGTGAATAGAAAGCAACTGCTCCCCTCAGTCGAAGGATCAGTAACAAGGGAGGCATCATTTAAGTGAACAGCAGGAAGTTTAGAGGGGATTTGAGGAAAAATGTTTTAACTCAAAGGATGGTGGGAAATCTGGAATGCCATGCCTGGGAGGGTAGTTGAGGCAGAAAGCCTTACAACCTTTAAAAAGAACTTGGACAAGCATTTGAAGTATCAGAATATTCAAGTCTATGGGCCTAGTGTGGGAAATTGGTACTACAGTAGGTGGCAGTGTATTTTCAGCAGTACACACTCGATGGCCTGTAGGGTCTCTTCTGTACTGCTTGATTCTATGAACTTAGCCAGACCTGACACCTTCAGGAAAGGAAAGAAAATGAAAGCAATACAGGATGTTGGTGAGGCCACTTTTGGAGTACTGTGTACAGTTCTGCTCTAGGAAGGATATTATCAAATTGGAAAGGGTGCAGAAAAGATGTAGAAGCACGTTGCCGGGACTGGATTGTTTGAGTTATAAGGAGAGGCTGGATGGGCTGGGACTTTTTCCCCTGGAGCGTAGGAGGTTGAGAGGTGACCTTATAAAGGTTTATAAAATTATGAGGGGCATTGATATGGTGAATAGCAAAAGATCTTTTCCTTAGGGTACGGAAGTTCAAAACTAGAGGGCATAATTTTCAGGTGAGAGGAGAAAGATTTAAAAGGGACCAGAGGGGCAACTTTTTCCACACAGACGGTGGTACGTATGTGGAATGAACTGCCAGAAGAAGTGGTAGATGCAGGTACAGTCAGAACATTTAAAAAACATTTGGATAGGTAGATGAAAAGGATAGGTTTAGAGGGTTATGGGCCAAACGCGGGCAAGTGGGACTAGCTTAGTTTGAGAAACCTGGTTGGCACGGACAAGTTGGACTGAAAGGTCTGTTTCCACATTGTATGACTCTAACTCAAGAATATGCATGGTTTCAACCAATTCCATTCTTATTTTAATAGGTACTTGTGACAAATTTGGCAAACCTAAATAGTTGTTAGAGCAGTTTAATTTGGAAAAGGACTAAGAAAACTGATTTGTCATTCTATAATACAATACACATTTTGATTTATTAAACACATCATACAAATTCCATTGTTCAAATGCAAAATTATAATGACAATGAAATATAACAAAAAATTCTAGATCTGCATTGAGCCACTTCTGTTAATGCAATTAAGTTTCTAATTCTTGTTTTTCAATTGTCAAGATCCAAATAGATGGTAATATTGGCAAGTCAAATCGCAGAGTGAAATTTGGCTTCAGACTGTGACTATTATTTTTACCATTTGTTTATTGTGATTGTCAGTCACAATTCACAAGAAGCTGACAATGTATTTTTAACAGGAGAAAATGAATCCTACACACTGCCTCTTTTCCTGGATGGCTCTAACTTTCCATTTGGATTCTAGTGTTTAGACAAGAGTAGATTTTTTTTCTTCTACTTATTTTACTTAATGCACTACATTGTTCACCTGAAAGATTTAAGCACATCATTAAGATGCACAAAACTAAAACTCCAGATACATCAGCACCACTTACTGAACAAACCCAAAATGAATCTACACCTATGCCTCTTTCTTTTAATTTTACACAAGACAGAAATACAAATCAAACTTAAAGTTATGCATGGTTCTTCCACTTTAAAACCCAAGGCTCTAAATAGTAATAATAACAAACCTTTGACACAATATTCTACCTTTCAGCTAAAATGTGAGTAGCTGTGTTCTTATCAAAAG